TGTAAATTTATGTTAACTAAAGTTTCTATGCAAATTTCTGCTAATGAATTTTTATTAAGTATCAGTTATCTTTTATTTATGCCAGTATCTCTTAATTTTGATGGCCAGTGTTTATAAACAATAGGCGCCAACATATTTCGGCCATCTTTGGGGCCACTTTCGACATCAGGAACTTCCATTCGTATGATGTAACCAACTTGAGCAGTTTGTCATTTCTATCTCGGTTTGTCGTTTCGACCCCCCAACCACAACAGTTTCCCGACGATTGTCCGAATGTTAAGAATAAGAATATAGTTGAATACTCGGTCTTACAAACTCCGCCTGGGAGTGTACAATCAAAGCCGGCACTTGGGCTTGAACATAAGAGACTAAGAATTAAACTAAAACTAAGATTAACTAAAGAAATATAGCCGAAGCTATCAGGCTTCTAATGCAGTTGACTCCTTAAACACCAGATAACTGCGAAGCTATCAAGGGCCTGAGTACGGCCGAGCGTAATAACAGCTTTGAGAGAAAGAGTGGCCAAAAGGCAGACGCGCATAAATCAGAAACTCTGATTCTCTCTAAGACCAAAGAACTTCGCGGTTAAATACCGCTCTTCCTCATTATGTATTCAGACGTGATTCTAAAACAACGTTCTGGCCGGAAGATAATCGCAATTAAGTAATATATTTGTCTTACATTAACTAAGTATCTGAATGGTGCGTTAGAGTTCCTAAATAATTAATAAGCTGAACATTTTTTCTCGTTTGCCTTACAAATCCTTCAAAAATACTACATTCACGATAAATATGAAACAGAAGAAATATATAGTTATAATGCAGAGATTCGTGCAATTATGCAAAAGCACTATCTTCCAAACATTGTAGTTATTATTTTAAAGAGAGACTTTTCCTTATTTTAGATAAAGTATCATTAAGATTTCGAAGAATAAAAGAATTACCTCCCTTTTCTTTTATATTAACAAAAATCATTAAGACCAAATATTGCAATCTTTTTGAAGAATTTTATGAATTAGTAAGACGTACGTTTGGATCATTAAATTATGTTGTAAGTTTAATAATTAATTTATTATTTACACGAAAATACAATAATCAGAACAAGTATATAATAATGGGAAAATATAATTGAATTTTTCTTAAGTTTCATTTCTTCAGACTACTTTAAAAAACGCATAATTTATTTTTCTCGATTTGTTTATCAAATTATATCGGACTTATTAATTTTCATGGTTTTTTTATAATAAATGTACGTTCCAAGAGTATCATTATAAGAATATTATCAGCATTATAATGTTTTTCTTATATACGTAATAAATAAATATTTATTATATCGAAAAAAGCATTATACAAAGAGAAATTTACTCTGAAGATCGTAATGTTGTAAACAAACCTTCGCGTTTTCTTAATAAATGTGTGTCCCATACATATGATGTAATAAAAGCGGGAGATTAAAACTATCACATTAAACAATATTTATTTAATCCATGATGAAATTCTAACCTCCATTAAAATGACTGCTAAATTTCCAATTAAATTTCAGCACTTATTTCGAGTTCATTTAAAATAAGTTTTGAATATAGTTTGAGTAAAATTATAGCATGTTCGTATTTTGCCAGAACTAGTTTGGTAGAATATTTTAATCATGCTTAAGGGGACTCATACACCTTAAAACCCATAAGATGTTCGAATAGGTGACTGTTGCAAGAATTGGAATAACTTATTTATTTTAAAAGCAATTACTACCAACATTTTACAGCTGACTACATAATATAGCTGCTTTCTGGAATAGTAATCAGAAAGTTTGTGTTGCCACAAATATTTTTATAATTTAATCCGCTTTGTGACAACATTTTTCGTCATGTTTCCAACTTGCGCGCACAGTTTAAAACATTCTGTTTCATAATTTAATTCCATATTTAATATATAGCTTTTATTACATTTGGAAACTACTGTGAACCTAAAATTCTAAAACTTTCATGTTAAATTTTTATTTTACTTTGAGTTCAGTTTATAAAATGTATTTTATTAGCAAAATTTGTAATGTTTTCGTCCATAAAATATTTAAGTATTAAAATATTCATCAGATTGTTGATTCAGTTAGAAAATAGTGCCCATATAAAGAATTCCATCAAATTTCAAGTATGTACCATTAGCCAATTTTAAAATATCATGCGCGCAATGTGGAAACATGGCGAAATATTTTGTCACAAAGAGGATTAAATTACAAAAATATTTGTGGCAACACAAACTTTCTGGTTACTATTTCAGAAAGCAGCTATATATTTAGTCAGCTGTAAAAGATTGGAAGTAATTGCTTTTAAAATAAATAAAATATTCCAATTCTTGCAACAGTCACATATTCGAAGATCATAAGGGGTTTAAGGTGTATGAGTCCCCTTAACACTCCGTTTCCGAAAACAGGGGTTTGAAAATTATACTTAAGTATTTTATCTGAGTTTAGCATCGAAAAATGATTTAATGTTAACCTGTTAAATATTTACAATATGTTTGGATTAATCATTTATAAGACAAACGGAAGTACTACATAAATTTACATATTCATTACAAAGCCTCCTTTCGTTGACATGATCAGAAAGTTAATGTTCTTAACAGTTCCTCTTAGGTATCCAATGGCTTATGACCAACACATATAAACTTTCAAGCATTCAGTCTGCTCCATATCAAAATCTACTATGTTTCCTCGATTCTGTTTTATTTAACGAAAGGAAATTTTTAACTGTTTACCAGTTAATATATTCTGAATGTTACAGAATTTCTCTTATTATGCAGAACTCAGTGAGTTATGCTATTTAGGTAAAAAAAAATATCTCTCTCTCTCTTAAAGAAATTTACCATGTTTACACCACTTTCATCAAAATATTTAGATGAAAATTTCAGACGAATATCAAATTTGGCTACGGCAAATATAGTCATTTAGAATTGTTTAGCACAATTTATGAACTACGTATTATCTAATTTTTCACAGAGAATGCGCTTTAAAACTGAAATCTCATAAAATTTTGATCATTTTTGTTTTACATTATTTTGAGTTTTTTTTTCTTATATTAAATCTAACAATTCAAAGCCAAACTCATTTTGTAAGAGTTAAGTCGTACCTTATGCAATATTTGTAAATAATTTACCTAGGTAAAAGTTAAATATAAATGTTTATTTTATTTTTCTAACTGATTTTGTGTTCACGTCTGTATAATCTGGTCTTACCTCCCTCATTTCATTGATTTACAGAGAAACATATGTGTTTGTAATTAAACTACGGATATAACAGAGAGCATCTATAAAAAAGATAAATGCGTAAGTTTAATTAGACTTTATGATATAGCCTGATTCCTCTTCTGTGACTTGTAAGTGCCATATTGTTCAGTCCAAGTGAGCGGTCTGGTTGAGTAGGGTTTTCTTGTTTTCACTATGCACACTTTAGGGCAAGAATTAGCTTCTAAATTACACACACAGACCTCCTCCCCAATGACAGGATATTGACTTTTCAGACAACTGCATTTGGGCGGGAATACTGCTATGGTCTTATGTATGTCTCTCATCTTCATCCATTAAAGACACCATGAACTATGCACTATACAACGCCGTACCAGACCTTTATCTGGAATTATGGAATGGAGTCTTATTGTATTATTTTTCTTTATTCTTCTAATGCTCAATGCTAGCACACTCAACAACCACCGCTATATCTCTTAAGTGTGGAAGCCAGTCATTCCTTAAAGGTTCGTGTGCAGCTGAGTTTCATCAGAACAAGTTGCGAGCCCACGTGGCGGGCAACGTTAAAACATTCTTCACTGGTCGTCGGTTATATTGCTGCGTGGTCCGGCTGTGCTACTAATAAGTCGCACACTGAACGCGTCTAATAGATGACTGGCAAACACGTTGTCTAGAAAACATTATCAGCGTCTACATCAGATGAGTTTTGCGAGTTATGGGAACAACATTGATTGATATACCTTGAGCGAAAATCCAAATAATTTTCTTTGAATGCCGAGCTGTATTCTAGCCTGTTATTAAAAATTCGGCGGGGGCACGTAATATTGAACTCTTCTTGGAATTCAAACGCGGCTATAATTTTAATTAGTCCATCCTTGTACCTTATATCCTGAAACAGCATTTTTTATGACTGGTTGAGTCATTCTTTTTTTTTTTCTGTTCTAACAAGATTAATTCATCTGGGATTGTAGGTTTGTAGACAACAAATTGCGTTGCGTCTGGGGCTGTTGTTAAGCTGATAACGAATGCCATTGAGAGAAGGGCAAACGCGTTATGTGCATTAGAGATGCGCAGGTGGAAGAGTTTAAAAGCATGATTGCTCATGCCGTACAGCTATTCAAACGACTCTGTCAATTTGGATGGGTGGTATTGTGGCTAGAGATGCCTTTAAGACGTAACCAGCGGCAGTACGAACATCTGTTGGACTTTGAAAGGGTATATAGTATGCCTCAGAGAAGCAGGTTGGTCAAACAGGCGCATCGGTCGCCACCTGGTTGGAGCGATATAGCAGTTGCTCGATGTTGGCCGCAATCGATCAAGGGATAGTCTACCGTCGCAGAAGATCAGGGCGCTTCAAAAACACAAATGTGCGCGAGGATTGTGCTATTATACGAGCGGACACTTCCGCACCAACAATGTCGCTAGCATCGATTTGACGGCATTTACCACCTTCCAGGCATCCGGTCGTATCAAAGAAATCAATTCCGGCACAATTGGTCGAAGCAAGTATATGCTGCCGATGTGCATTAGTACGTCTACCACTAACCCACATCATAGGAAGTATCAATTGTATTTCTGTCGAACTCGGGCAAGCTGGAATATGGCCGACTTGTGATTTGCAGCGATGAATCTCGGTTCAGTCTTAGAGCTGATGACCAACGCATCACAACGCGCGTGGCTAGCTAATTGATCCGATACTTGTTGTCGAGAGGCATAAGACGATTATACAAGGACACACGATCTCTTCTAGTAGTCACTTAAGGCACTATGACGGCTGGCTATTACGTGGACGAAATTTTAACGCGGGTTGTACTGCTTATGCTATCAAGTAGCCCAGGTGCCATTTATCAAGAAGAAAACGATCGTCCACATACTGCGCGATTCTCTCAACAATGTCTTCAAGGATATGACGTACTACCACAACCTGCCAGGTCACCAGACCTCTCGACTACAGAGCACGTTTGGGACATGCTTGGAAGACAAATGCACCCGTCCGAAATATTGGTGAATTATCTGCCCAGTTGCAAAGATTATGGCATAATCTTTCGCAGGATGTCACAGGTGACCAACCTTGTTCGATACCACGCCGTGTTTTGGCATGTATAACTGCCGAAAGTGGCTATACTACTTAATGAGTTTTAACATTTTTCATGCCATAACTTCTTAATTAAACGATATTTTGTTCTGAATTTGTAATCATTTTATATCCTCATACACTATATGCATGTTAGGTTTTGTGAGAGTATTTGTGAATGTATATATTTTTTGTGACAAAATGTATTAAGCTTTTATTAATCTGCCCAGTGTAAAAACATACTATGGTAATCTATTAGTAGAAACTTGATTGTTTTAATTTTAATTTAGAACTTGACTATGTTACCGTCTAAGTTAAATTCTCGTTCTAATTCTCTATACTATCGTTTTAAATTAAAATTTTATGAATGTTTTACTGTGATACATAAATTAGGCTCATAAAACTGTGATACAGTAATTAAGGGCTGGCTGCTTAATTTGCCAGTGTCATTGGTTTTAAATTAACCGCTAATGTTAATGTGTCACCTTCGAAAAAGTTAAAATAGACATAGATGTTTTTATTAAATCAAATAATGTTTAAAATTCAAAGCAAGCTTCCACTTCAAACGTTGCTTTGGTCTCCTGTTAATTAATTATACCATGCAATATTTTCTAGGTAAAAGTATAATTCTCATCTAAATGCAGGATATATTCTATAAATGAAAAAAATACTTTTCTTCAATATAGTATGTTTGGTATCACTTCAAATTCTGATCTGGAAACGAACAAAGAAAAAAAAAAAAAAAAGATTTCAGTTACTAGAGGTCCGACAAGAGAATGAAATCAAAAGTAATTTTAGCTATATTGGCAAAGAGAAAAAGTTACGTCATTAGAAAGTATTGATAACATTGTAGGAAAGAGTGACATGTATTAACAAAAATAATTAAAACTCAATTGGTTTCTTTTTCTTTTCAATAAAATATTACAGGATGTTATCAAATATGTCAATACTGCTTTTCTTTTCTGTTTGATGTTTTGAGCATAAAATGTTTTCATTCGTTTTGTTAGGGTTGAAATTAAAGGAAAAAATTCCAAACAGACATCAGCTTTTGTTATTTGTGCTTTATGTGTTAATTAATTTTATTTTCTATCATTTTCAAAGCTTCTTCTTATTTGAAAGATTTTTTCTCAGTTTTAATCCTCTGTGACACACTTAGCATGTCAGCTGTCTTGTCAATATAAAAATGTATGATAAATGTCGCTTTAAATTTATTTCAAGAGATTTTTGGATTATAACAGATCAAATGCCATCAAAAAGTAAATTTATTTGGTTGTATTTATAGTGAGGGATTATAAAGGTATTGAAATAAGTCCTCATATTGCATTTAATGCAAATGTTTGTTAATAAAAAGGAATATATGAGTTACAAATTTTAATTATGCATTAATTTGAATGTTATTGTAAGTACCTAGTCCTTAACCTAATACATTTAATTAAATCACCTACACTGATTTCAAGAATAATCACAAAAACGCTAGGTGAGCATATATATATATATCAAACAGCTGAGAACAATCTGATTAAATTTTATTTGATGAAGTTGCAACGCAAAATCTTTGAGTCCCAGCGTCGTCAAAGTAAAAATCAGCTTAGCAATACTGATATATGTTTCAACGTTTAAAAAAGTACAATTTGCTAAAGGTGAATTCATTAACAAAAGTGAAAGAAAAAGAGTTAAATTTTTTGTAACGAAGTCCTAACTTATTTCGGGAAAATGTAGACAAATTTGAAAAAGCTTTTAAAAATGGTTCTTGTTAAAAAGCAATTCGCATTTATGACAATCGATAACATTATAACCTCGTTCAAGAAAGAACGAAAAAAAGAAAGAATTAATTACCGTTAGGGAGCTGAGCAGAAAACTGAATGTATGCTCTTTATGAATAAATTTATCTCTAAAGTGTCACAATGACTTTTATACTTAACAAAAAATTTATCATACCTTCTTGAAGGTATAAATTTAATTAGAAACAGATTTGTTCGTCACGTTTTCATTTATAATTGATCATTTAAGTAAAAATTCCATTTTTATGTATTTTCGAATGTATATAAATTACAAAATCCTTCAATTAAAATAAGAAAGTTTTCCAATTTCATATGCCACTTGATACTTTGTATCATTAATCGTAAGTACCAGAAGTTCATCACTTCTAAGATTTGGAGAACAAAATTTTCAATTATTTAGAATAACATTAGAATAAAGATTTATTCGAAGCCAAACGTGTGATGATTTGATTTTACCTTTTGCTAGGAAGAATCTCCTAGTCTGCTTCTTAGCTGATGTCTTTTAAATTCGTGTTTAAAGATATATATTTTTCTTTCAGTTGTTACTTTCCTTTACAGTAATTTATTTCATCATTATTTAAACCTGCATTTGAAATTTCACTATCTACGAATTTTAACACATTTACCAAATGTCTTTATTTAAAGTACACAAACAAAGTGATTAAAAAAATGAAAGAATGTATTACTGTGCTGTACTTTGGCTTAATTTCCAATTGCGTACTTCCAGTATGTAGCATACTTAAGCAACTGCATAATAGATTGCATGAAAGAAAAATATCTTTTAAGTTCTTGGCATAATTATGGACTAATGTGTTACTATAATTATGTAAAATGTCTTTGGTTATTACAATATCTTTTATCATCCATTTCCCTTAAAGGAAAAATTAGGAAAAAGTATTGAAAATTAGCGCGCAAAGAACATTTTAAATCTTTAACGAAAATAATGAATTATTTGTTTTAAAATTATTTAATTTAAAATAAATTAAAGTTTTGAACATATATTTTATAAACTGATGTTATGATATGTATATGTATAAAATTTCTTGTTGAAAGCACAAAAACTTTAAAAAATAATTTTTATTTAAAGTCCACCGTCCCCTTAATGCATTTTAGGTACGCTACATTCTAATACTGATGTAGGTGCATTGCTAAGATGACCAATTTTCGTCATCCTCACATCTTTATTTCTAACAGGAGATTTAAAAAAAAACATCAAAAGTTATGAAATTAGTTTCGCTGTATCAGATAAATTCAATATGTCATACAGAATGCTGTATGGAAATAACTCTTCTATTCAACAAAGTTTACAGCATTGACATTAATATAAAACAAATTGTTCATAATATTGGTATTCCGTAATTGTTTTAAAATGATGATATATGGGAATTTCCTGCATAAACGTCTGTCCTATCAATGATTATTATTCTGAACGTCGACTCATCTGCCCGTTTTTTCTCTTAAGTTTACTAATCGAAAGCGATAATATCTCGCTTTAAGTACCGCTCATAAATTTTTAATAATGCCGTTTTTCACGAAAAACATCGCATCAAGTTTATCTCTTATCATCTTTCCTTATCAAGTTCAATGCCTTTAGATGAGCTTCATATACACACATTTATTAGAGTTTACATGGAATATGTAAATACAGGGCATCCGATGAATGGAAATTTATTCAAATTTATGGGGCCATCCCATAAATTTGCATATTTTTCCAAAAATTGTTTAAATGATCAGATTGACATGTTAAAATGTTCTTTTTGCGCGTAAAAGCTTATCACAGGAGCAGATAACGATTGGACGTAAGAATATAGTTTACGTTTTCATTGCAGATAGCACATTGAAAATTAGAATCATATAACATTCTTTCATTTATATTTGCCAGCATATTACAGTATCACTAATAAACAATTGAACTAAAATCTACCTTATGCCCCTCCTACGAAATATTTCAGTTTCACATTCAAGCTGCATTCGATACGCCAGTTGACGATTTTAAATGACTTTTTTAAATAGTCCAAATTTAAGGGACACCCTGGCTGTTTTACTTCATGTTATAGATGCTAAACACCAACTTCGTTAGCAAATACTGAATCCAAAAACTTGAAGCAATTTATATTTAGAAGTCTTTCATACTTTCCGGAATGTTATCCTGCGAATCGGTTTTGTGATACTTTTTAAAGATTAAAAAGGCAGTCGTGAAAGAATTCTCATACTTAAATACTGACATAAAACTTGATCTGATACTGGAGAGAAATGCTAGGCATTCATGAGGGGGAAAAGTGAACAAAATCAATGTTGGTTTCACTAGGACATTAACACCGATTCTTCCATTTCAATGGCTGGGCATGACCGGATAGCTGCTTTAATTTTTCATTATTTCTAGAATGACCGAAGATTGGCACTACTCACTGGACCAAATCCAGGTGCTGATGAATTATCACCCATTACATTTTTAGTTGAGGGACCGCTGATAAGACTGATAAAGTTAGGGGGTGAGAAAACATGAAAAATTCTGCAATGTCTTCGGCGGAATTCTAACAATGGGTGTTTAATTTTGCTGGATGGACATTCTAACCACATACATACTGCGCACGGGGGTACGATCATTAGTTACACTATAAACATTAATAGTAGTTTTGCAGTCTAAATGCTTAAGGGTTCTAATGTATACTCTGGTCTGAATCGGAGACTAAGGGAGAAATTTTCTACATTGCGATAGGAAGAACTTTTTAAGGCTCTGCGTATCCTTATCATACTTCTAAATATTTGAGTAAAAAGAAAACTTTCAGAATTTATATTGGAACCTAAAGGCGTTTTCTTCATTTACACACATATATACGTTTCGAGAGCATTTGGGATAATGTTCTTTTGGGCTAAAAATACTTAAGAACAGCATATCTTTAGAATTCCCGATAGACAGTCTCGTACGCTGGACATAATATATTATTTTCGTTCAGTTTTGTCATTGCTTGCTTTGAAATCGTTAAATTTGTTAATCAAACATTCGTTAAAGTTTTACAAAATATGAAATAGACAATAAAGCAAATTCCAAATTCGGTTTTCAGGTGTCCATATACGGGTGGAAGACTATGTTATCTAAAATTTGATGGCTCTATGTACAGTTGTTTTTTTTTACCAATGCGAGAAACATACATACTTTAATGGAGCTTCTTCTGTATATATTCTTATATAATTTTTTTAAATGTAATACAGATCGACCAATATTTGGTGGCAACAATTTGAAAAGTAAAACGGACATTTATAGTGAATCGACGCAAAATGCTGTTTCGTGACGTAATAGCCCTTCTGGGCTAACGCCTCTTTAGGCTATTAAAAAAAACTACACCTAACATACTAGCACATACTAACATACATACTAACAATATTAACATACATCTAGATGTCAAAGGATCTTTCTTCTAGAATGTAAATATTGAAAAGAATATTTAGCAGTATATTACCATAGTGAAAAATCCGTCAACCTTTTAAAATATGCATAAATTCTATAAAACACATTAATATATTTCATTTATAAGATTTTAAAATAATTTTTATAACGAAAATATGTTATTGTTTATTACAGCTCATTAGCACAAAGTAAAATATAATTACTCTTAATTGGCAATTAAATATTTTTCTTATACTGGAAACATGTATACCATCTGCTGGTTTTAGCCCAAAAGGGATGTTACTCCGGAATTGTAAATTTGGGCAGAGGATTGTAAGTTTAAGGCGGAGCATATTCTGCCTCTCAGTGGTCACGCTGCTAGGTTGCTGTCTTAGATAAGAGTATCTTTGGCCTTGCACTATAATTGTCGATAATTAAATTCCATGCCTGTTAAGTTTTGAATCGGTTAAGTTCGCGTTAAACTGATTGTGTAGCCTTTGGATACTAGTTGATCTGAATTTAAATTTTACATTTGACTTATTGTTAGCTTAAGTTATCTCACTACAAGTGATTGGCTGAGTTGTAAGCAGAAGGTCCGCCTTCTGTTTTTACTTAGTTTTAGAAAGGTATCTTTTACACTCTTCGCAAGTTTTAGTTGTAAGTTTAAAATTAGCGATAATTCGCTTAACATCTACTATGAGTTGAGAGACTTTGGATAATTATCAAGAGCACAAAACTCTACAATCTCTAGTAAAATATGAATTGGGTTCATAAAAAGGAGAATAAAAAGAAATTAAAATTTTCACATTACCGAATTTACATTTAGCGTTATTATTGAGCTCAGACTGTATAACTATGTTAGGTTTATTCAATTTTTAACTCTCGTTTAAAAAATCTCGTTGCGTTATTTTACATTGTGTATTATATCTTTTGTGTATGAAATTTCACACTTGGAAAGTCTTTGTATTTTATTTGTACAATTTATTCAGGCTTACAAAGCTAAACATGTTTGGCTAACATGTATGGCTAAACATGTTTCCTGTTTCAGGATTTTGTTGTAAAACACTATTAAAAAGTCAATCAAACAAAAACAACTCAAAATTAAAGATGATGTAATTTGATGTTATAACAAAGTTAAAAACGTCAAACAATTTTTAACTCTTATATAAGACTGGTTTAAAGAACTTCAGATTAGCTATAAAAATTCTGCACACTGTTCGTGAAATATTACGACTGGAACCTTTAGCTTAGAAATGTTTCTCAAAATGCGCTACATTGCAAGCTGTTAAAATATACTTAGATAGTTTATGATTGCAGCAATATGTGCATTTCTCTTTCTAAAAGCATTGACTGTAATCCATAACGTCTAACTCATGGATACCAGTCTTATGCACAATATTTACACAAATATAATGAAACGTGTAACTGAAGTTAATATCACTTTTCAGTAGAAATACATTCTTAGGTTCATTAATATCACTTTCATTTAAAATGCCCATCAACAAGCTGTAATCTTCATTTGTGCAGTATTATTTTATGGATTTCATCTGTTTCATGAATATTAATGTGCATGATTTATTCCAATATGACATACGTGTGAGATTAAACTGTGTGTTTTAGCTTCAGTTTACTAATCCATCTTCATCAAGCTGTAATTTTCTGTCCAACATTTGTCACAATTCCAAATCTAGGCATATTATTAAGGCAAGATTTTAAAAGCTGCCGGCTTTGTCATTTAAATTATATTTCGCCAAGAGCAAGTCATTGAGCAGCCGTTGATTGGCAGACATTATGTATGCACTTTCACTTAATTGCACAGAAGTCGCCTTCCTGTAACTGCCATGATAAAAGCTTAGCAAAATGTTCCTCATGGGAGTACTTCGATGGAAACGTTAATTTCTAGACTAGTAAAATGTAAAGGAAATGCGTTTCTTTTCAACGCTTGCATCTAGAAATAACCTAAAACATTAAATGTAGATTTACGAGAAGCGAAATGGCTTTTCCGGGTTTTTCTGCTTTTATCTTGTGTATGGCTCAACATTACAGCAATAAAGCAAACGTCAAATGACGTAATACAGTTTCTAAAGTGCTTATTGAGATAACCAAAACGGTTTGTGCGTGTCATGGAAAGCTGTTAATGGTAGCTTCTCCATCTTAGAATGTAGAAAGAAAATAAAGTATGTTTACGGTAATAACGAACATCCAGATGATGTTTCCTGTTTCACTGAAGCTATTCATCTTATTGTTAAAGCAACAGAAGTAATTTTGTGACATATTAAGAGAAGTTTGAGCAGACATTCAGTGTGACACTCTAAGTGACATTGTCTTTAATTTTGGTAATTAGTATTATTTGCTAAATGAATTGGGCCTTGTATTTTTCGTCCATGTTTAATTCAGAGAAGCACCTAATTTCCTTCAAATGAATCCTTTGGAAATGCTGTGAAAATTTAACAATGGCTAGCAAATTATTATTTATTCGATAAAATATCTTTCCTTTATGAAAGTTCATTTAGTTTGTTTAGGCTTAAATTGAAAGACTAAAGTAAATTGTATGGTATTGCAAAGTACTCACATAATTAAGGCTGTCTTTCGACTGCTGCTTCAGAACTCCTTCGGTTCCTTCTTGGCCACATTGCCTGATACAAAAAAGGTTTGCTTAATTAATTGAAGTGAAATTGTTTGCTGCCTCATTGGCTGGTTGTAGACAGATGGGCCTCAATGACTGACTCGAGATTCTTTGCTAAGTGATGCAAAACGAATGTCAGTAGCTAAACTTGTGAATAGCCATCAACTTAGAGTTTTGTAATGGCAAAACAGTTTTGGCTAGCTCTATTTTATTTAAAATGGCAAACGTTAGGCGGTAAAACTCGGATAAATCATGACCCCCTTTTTTCTGTTACTAATCTGTTGAGAGGAGTTTGAAATCAGAGTGTTTTAATGCTCCCATTCCACGAAGACACATAAAAATATCAGCCTCTTATCAGCAGTACTATAAATGTGTAGCAATCAGTCTTTGCAAATCACACTACTGTTATAATCAACGGTGGAAGGGGACGAAACAAATCGTGAAAGTAATTCAAATATTTGGGATGTGGGAAAATAGTCTCAGCTTGGTTTAGCCACTTAAAATGAATTATGAAGTATGTAAATAAAGGTGAGACTGGTTACATAGTTTTCTATATGGCTAGTAAGAGCGATTACCCTCCACAGAACAACAAAATTCAAGTTCTCATACAACTCAACCAGAAATTCACAGTATTCGTATGTATTATGTTATTGCGCTTTTCATCAAGAAAATACATGCAGCACATAGGAGAAGCACGTATAAGTAGAAGCTAGGCCAGCAACCATGCTCTGTAGTATCATAGGAAATTGCAATATTGCGGAACTCAGCTAATTATTAAGCTTTCACCTCAATGTTGTGGAAGAACATGCCGAGCGAGAGGTCCGAGTGTCTCCCAGTCCTCCCACAAACTTTACAAAATTTTCCCTGCAATTATTATTCAGAATATTATGTATACTAATTATAAAGACTTTTTGTAATAGTTATTGCTCACAAATAGATTTCCCTTGTTCCGAAATGTTTTACGGATTATTTATTATAAAATCTCGAAAATCAAGTTCTTTTGTAGTTGGTCTAACGTTGTGAAGTGTTTGTGTAAATGGGCATGAAAATAAATAGTGTTGGGATCATTTTTCGCCGCAACACAGTTGTTTGAGGAAGAGAAATTTCTCTTGTAGTAATAAGAGAGGAAGGGTCCATTACCAGATGTGAACTGTTTTCAACGGTGGATACTGAAACATTTTTTTCCAATTTATTAGGCTGATTAGTTCCTGTGTTCTCCTGCCTTGGGAAACAGATTTCCATTCGGTCTGCGAGATATGAATTTCTTCTTGTGCGACTCATTTGTAAGTATGACTTAGGCTATTTGAGTGGTAGTAGCTGCCAGCAGCTTTAGCAAGCATGTTGACGTCTTTCGTTTCCTTCATTCTGTGCATGAGGTTTTTCCCAACTAAGTGAAGTTTTAACTTGGCTGTTTTCTTGGAGGGGATCAAAGATTTCTTCTGGTATTGGAGGTAGATGTTTTAAATTCGTAATGCATGTAACAAAGAAAGATAAGAAAGATACTCAGATTAAATTGTAAGCTGGCTGCATTTATTATTAACTGAAACTTCTATTGCCTTTTAAATTGCGAAAATTTTGGCTTGAAACAAACTATATTTTCTGGGCACAGACATCGTTTCCAGCGTATTTTTAAGTTTCCGACTTTATGGAAAATACAGGCTGATCCTACATTTCCTTCTATTTTAGACCCATTTGTAAATGCTATTGGGTATGCGCTGATAATTAGAGGCTCTTTAAAGTAAATCTTTATGTTAGGTGAATTTGTAGGACGAGAATATGGAGAGCATGGGAATTCAAAGTTATTTGGATCGTAAATTAGTCCGTATAAGAAAGCTTGATTCAAAATCTATAACATTTTAGTTTTAAAATTTTTTAGTTCCGATAGAAGATATAAAGGTCTTATTCCAGAGAGCAATAACAGTGCAGCGTTAGAAGTGGTGATAAAGCTTTTCCAATGTTCAATAGAAATGGACATTGAATGGCAAGCAGCTGTTGCTTTTTTCTTTCTGTGATACCGACAGCCCATGTGCAGCTCCGTATAAAACGGACCTTCATTGGTCGTTGTTGATTTCACTGAAATATTAAATATGATACATCACTTGGTTTTTGAATTAGTCATAGCTGTTTGAGTAAAATGAATTAACTATAAACAAAACAAAACAAACTGTTGATTATGTGCCTGAAACCTGCACGGATTACGTACTCTTGTTCAACGCTAGTGCCGGTCGTCAATTCCCAATTTACCCCTCACGATTTAATTCATAGTAGTTCATAGAAGCTCTGCTATATATACTAGTTATCTCCTGTTATTTAATGGCTCTATTTTATACTAATCTGAAATTATACCTTTTTGTAATAAATATATGGCTACAAGTGGTTCCCTTTGATGTAAAAGTTGTGCACAGATAAAGAGGAATGTATGAAAAATGCAGGTAATCAAACTCATGTGCACTAAATATATTTTGCTCTCACATACTAAATGACACATATGATGTTTTAAAAAATCAGGAAAAATGCAAATATATGAAAGCTTAAAGAGACATTTGGAAACGTACACAAGTGACAGGCTAATACAATGTTTTTCTGTGTTGCGTATTGTTTTAGTATATATTATTAAGCATCATTTTTCGCTTCAAGAATAGCAGATAATCAGTCCTTAAAATTTGTAATAATTTCCTTTCAAATTTGGGGTAATGTTATCATTGGATAGACCTGCAGCTTTGATTAGACTTGAGTTTATATATATATGTATACGTACGAAATTACTTACGTTAAATACTTCGTCATATCACTTTACGTACGTACGAAATTACTTAAGAAATTAATACGTGTACTTACGAAATTACTTACTTTAAATACTTCATCATATCACTTTTATTTGCTCATTTCCTCTTTGATTTTAGGTTTCAAAATATTTACCTAACAATAGATATAAATTGTTTAAGAGTTCATAGTTTAAAATGTAGTGAATAAAACGCTACCCAAATATTTTGTTTCAAATTCCATGCATCTTTAAATAGCTTTAAATGCAAAAATTGAAATTCACAAAACCTAATTTATGATATCATCAACTAGAAGTTGCATCTTTGCTAAATGGTGAAACATTATGTTACTGAAATCTTAGTGTTTTTCTATCGTACGCTTTTTTAAAACAAAAAAGTATTTTATGAGAGTCTACCAGTTTTCCCGTTTTCATTCAAAATTGCAAGAATCAAATTCCTATAAATATATCTCCTCTTCGAATTCAAGATTGAATGCTAAGATAAAATTTTATATTTTTAGCTCCTTATAAGTATTTTAATAATTCTAATTATTGGTTTCATATGAAATTATTCAAATTACTTATAAATGTGTACGTTTAACACTTGAATAACCAGAATAGCATTTATACAGTTAATTGTAAGTTACTTATTTGCCTTTAGGAAAATTTTAAAAAATCGCATTGCTAAACCCTGATGTGTTTATTAAATAATACAAAATGCATTGAATGACTTACGAAAGCTGCCACATAGCTTTATTTTGAAATAACTTATAGCTTAATTTTTCCATGTTTTGAGTTCCAGTATGTTGCATTATATTACACGTTTAGACAGGTAACAGGTGATGAAAATGTGGACCCCAAATGACTTTTGTGGCCATTAGTACGATGATTAATATAAATATTAAATTAAAATCGCAGCTAAAAAAATTATTAAGAAATTATTTAAATTGACCTACATTCATTTCGAGAGTTGAAGTTCATTGCTGTAAAAATACGTACATTGTCAAATTTTTAGGTAAATAAATTAAAAGCTAAGGTAATATAAAAGTATACGAAAAATTACCATATTTATTCTTGTAATTCCTTTGTCCTTTCTAATTTTTCTTTTTTTTTTCTCCCAGAGAGAAAAATAACATTTCTTAAAGCAAGGCGTAATGGAAGACTGCAGCACATGGAAAAGTATATATAAATAGACTTTCTCATTTTGCTATATTCTATATCTCAAAGAATTCAGTTACAGTTATGAATCTGAATTTTTTTTTTATCCAGACTCAAGCCGCATTACTTCCTATATGTGCGTGAAATTTGCATGGTTGCCATAAATCAGAAAATATGCATGTAAATTATTTGCATGTACTGGTTATGATAATGCAGTCATAATGTACTTGTAGATAATGCATATTAAAACAAAACGCTCATGTCTATGATATGCTTTCTTACTTTATTTACTAACTTGCTGAAGAATATTAATAATTTTTTGTGCTGTCTTTTGAGACGTCATGAGATATTTTACTCTTCCTTTAAACAAAAACTACATGTTGCTTAGTTAATTTTAAAAGCAACGTACATGTTTCATGCTAATTAATATATTAATTTAATTTTTATTCTTATTTCTAATTGTGAAAAATTTTCATATATCTAATTTGTGGAATTAATAATACATTTGTCATGATTGTTTAAATATTTCACCATTATTGGATTAATAAGACATGTATCTTGCACCAAGTGTTACGTACCTGAGAACAAAATAGTCGTTTGTGTTCCACCTAACAAGTAATTATTCATTATATTCACAAGAAACCGAAACTATTTGTAGAACTTATTAGTTTACCAAAGAGGGAGCATAAAAAATAAGCTGTGCCCTTGTTGATACTCCAATAGCAATTTTGCAGCTGTTAGTCAGACATCTACTGTTACCAAATATGTCCCGTGAGTGCGCATGGTAATTCCAAATATTCTCCCCAGTATAGTGGCTGAAAAGAGTTGAACGAGACTTAGTCGACTCAATCTAAGTGGTGACGAATTATCATTCACCACACTCTAATGAAGCTGCCACCGTAAGAGACTATTCCGAGCAACAAATACGAAATCAGCGGTGACCTCGCTGGGATTCGAACCACAAGCTTTTCGATATGTGCCAGTTACTCTACGACAGCACGCATCGGGCAATGTAATAATTCTTTATACATTTTTTTATTCAGATTTTAAAAGGCTTTGAAGTATTAAGGATTTATGGGACAAGCTTTTTTATATTTTTCCTGGAAACAAAACTTACATGTTCATTTTTTTAACTTTGTACCTCCAGAATATCAAAAATACTTTATTTTTATGAAATTATTTTAGTTCTTCTTTATGAATTTACTTGTGTTTCAGTTACACCGGTGGATTTGCAGATCAGCAGTAATTACCAGCAGCCTTTCATCGCTGGCAAACAAGTTTCTTTATTTTGCCGTAGTCATGGATCGCATCCACGCGCTCACTTAAGTTGGCACCGCAAAGGTAGTTTGATAGTATCGAAAGAAGTTATTAGTGACAATGGCAATGTTACTACTGGTTATCTTCTTCTAAACATGACACCAGAAGATGATGGTGACGTCATACAATGCTTTGCAGTTAATCCGAGTGCTCCAGATTATATTTTAGTAACAAATTATACTATGATTGTACACTGTAAGTTCTGTTATATTTATATTCATGAAAATTTTACAAGACAAATAAAATGTAGTTACAATATTATTATATAAAATTTTCAAAGACAATAAAATTTATCATTATTAAAAATATAAAATTTTCGTAGCTCATTAGGAACAAAATGCAGCTTAAGAAGCGTTTTATTAGTACCTTAATTTAATTACAATTTTAAGTGTATATTACTACATTCCAATATTTACAAGCAATATTACTTATAAATAGTGTTTGCTGTATATGATACCAATCTATATCATACTGATTAACTGTATTAGTGTATGTTTTCTAAGTTAACATCTATCATGCCTTTCTTTCTATGTGAAAATAAATAAATAAACTTTTAATCTCTCTCTCTCTATATATATACATATATACATTTATGTGTGTGTATATGCATGCATTCATTTTGTCAACAGATATTAAAACACCAAACTGAAATGTGCAATACTGTATAGTGAACATTTCGTTTTCAGTTAAAAGGAAACGCAAATGAAAATAATTTAAAAGAACCATTTTTATATTTTTCTTTCTTTTTTAAATTTTATTTATAAACATGAAATACGTATGTTGACTGTATATCTGCATCACATAAAGTGCAATTATTGCTTCCACATTTAAATATCGATGTTAAAATATACTAAAATATTATATCAAATCACTAAATCATTGCAGTTTTGCTCTACATTTTTGCTTTATGTACTTTAACACAATTTTTTAACATAAGTAGGAGCATATGAGAATCTTCCTAGATATCTCAAGAGATCCACTTTGCCTGTTGGCAGCTGTAATATACCAACTGGCAGATATGAATATCGTATAATTACAGTAATACTATATTTTAATATTCAGATAAATACTGATATGCAAAAATAAATTTGAAGTTAAATACTCGACGAAAAGAAATATATTTCAAAACTTAATTGCATGTTTATTTCTAGATAACAAAATGTTCGTAAAGAATTGTCTAAAATTAAGCTTTTTTTAAAATAAATAACAAGAAATCTTTTCTATTTACAATAAATGAAATTTTTAATAATATGTAAAGCTTTTTTATACTTTTGAAACTTCTTATGCTGTTTAATAGTATTGATTTATGTAATTTTGTATCTTTAGATGACCGAATAGTATTCTATTAATTTTTTGATTATCATTATTGTATTTGTTCATAAGTTTTATATAATTTTTTAACATATTGCATTCGTAGCTATAAATAATAATATTAATAGATTGATGATTTCACTGAGTGTGGCTTCCATATTTAAGGCTTATGGAAAAAAAAATAAAGCTCATTTTATAGTCCTTAAGTCCAATAAATTTGTAAATCTTTTTCCTTTCTCCTGTATCTCAACTTTTCTAAGAATATTTAAGTTTATACCTAATCAAAAAGATTTAAGTTTATAAAATACTCAAAAGTATTTTGTATTATAGTGTGATGTGAAAACTTATTTCATGATTCTATTGATTTTTTGTTTCCTATGACAGATAAACCAGAAATAAATCTAGCAGTCCTTCATAGTGGAAAAAGAAGATTCGCACAGGGATATAACATTACAATTCGCTGCTCAGTGCGAGCAAATCCAAGAATTTCTCGAATGACATGGATGCGTAATGGTATAGAATTACACAGCTCTTCTTCTGTGTACCTTTACAACACAACACTGCAAATTACAAATATATCTGTAGCCCATGCAGGTAAATATACATGCATTGCTGTAAACCGGGAAGGACAAACTCGGTCTTCTACTAATATTGAAGTGGCATGTAAGTATCTTAAAAGTTTATGATTACTGAATTTGGAAAAACAATATTTTATTGAATTTGATGTTGATAAAACATCGAACAATGTCCTCGCCTGGAATCCTTCCCTGAAACTCTCGAATAAGCATCGAATGTGCTTCCAATTACACCACGAAAGCATGCAGAAAGGAGGAAGAAAATACGTTATAATTTTACATGAAAATTGATTTTCTTCTTTCAGAGCACAGACTTGAGCAAAACCTATTCATATTCGATGCATTTTAATTTAGTTGTATTTATTTATTTTATTGCTAAAACAATTTAAATCCATTTAATTGCTTAATATATACGGCTATTTAAATATTTTAAAGATTTCCGGTTAAGAATATTCTGTAAAAGTTTCTTATGCAATTTCCGATTAAACTCTAGCCAGTTTCCTGTTTTCGAAGCTCGTTATTAAAAAGTAATTCTTACTTTTTGTTCAAGACTTGACCTTCTTAGTTCATAAAGTATTAAAAGTAATTGTATAGTTTTGATTTAGAAACTTCTTACAATTTGCTCAACATTCATGAAATTTGAATAAAATCGTTAATATATCAGTATTAAGTATAGTACTTTGGTATAGTCTAAGTTAATCGAAAATTTAAAGCACCTTTTTTAATTTATAGTTTCTATTTGTTATATTAACCCTTTCGTCGTTCTCTTAATGTCCGCGAAAATTTCTCCCAAGCGGCCGTCTGTTTTTTGTAGCGTGTAATGTTGTTTTCTCTGTATATCATAACTTTCCATACATAACTTTCGTAGTAGATGAATGTCGATAAACATTTAGTAAAATTATAAGGACATAAAGCATAATGGAAAAATAATATCTATGCTTATTTCTAACAGCAGGTATAATTTGATAACATCTGTTCCAGGCGGTTCACTTCTCTCTTTTTGTTGTTGTAATCTTTTACAATTATTGTTTCTTTTATAGTTCTTTTCCGTGTTCCAACATCGAATTATTATGGACTGTAGTCATCATCATCGAATCATCATCAATCACCGAATTATTATGGACTGTACTTATCAAACATATATCCTTCTTGTCTTTCCAATTCACCATTTCTCTTTTTCTGCTGAGTAGACTTTGAAGCCATCTCTCACTGCCTTGTATCTTATGTAAAATGGCGCGAATATTCCTAAAACCCGGGGCAAATTCAATTAGAAATAGAATGCCTGATTAGTGCTTCCCTCTAGGAGGTATTAGAACAAACAAATAAACATTTAGAAAGCGTTTTAAAGGTTTAATAGTTTTAAAATGTAGAAGAACGCTTGTAGCGGCCGCAATGCGGAAGTTTCATTTGAACGCGCTAGACGCGTTACGGACGACGAAGAGCTTAAAAAAGATTTTGAGTTCGTTAATTTTCTCACACAGATAATATACCATGTAATTTCAAATATATTTGGTTAAATTACCAACCTCTTGATTAAAGCAGGTATTAGTAACTACAGGTTAGCAGAACTTTACATTAACAAGAAATTTGGCTGCAGTATAGCTTGTCTCCTTGCAAGCTACTACAGAGTGTCATTTTCTTTTGAAATAATCTAGTAATGCATTTTAGTTTCGTGAATGGTTTATATCTTTAAAGCAATAATAGGACCAAAAATCAAGAAAAGGTATAAGACAGTGATCTCAGTCTCTCGGCCTGCGGGGTGCATGCGGCCCCCAAAGCAGTTTTATGGGGACTAATGAATACATTTCAAATATGTATTTATTGCAAATACAATGCTTATAGTTTTAGAGATAATGACTGAGTTTCTATGCGCGACTACTGTTGAAATAAAAGACATAGAACGAAAAGTCTTTGCCACTGTAGCTTCTATACCAGACCACGTAATTCGGATAAGATTTGCTGTGTGACACCTTGTGGTACTTCCTCATTCTGAAATTTTCGGTTAAGGTTAAAAATAATTTATTCAGGGTTAATTTAACATACTGAAATTACCTGAAATAAATGATTGTCTAAATAATCTAATATTTAGCTATCAGTACGTTTGATTAAACTCTAGCCAGTTTCCTGTTTTCGAAGCTCGTTATTAAAAAGTAATTCTTACTTTTTGTTCAAGACTTGACCTTCTTAGTTCATAAAGTATTAAAAGTAATTGTATAGTTTTGATTTAGAAACTTCTTACAATTTGCTCAACATTCATGAAATTTGAATAAATCGTTAATATATCAGTATCAATAGAAATAGAAATATCAATAGAAATTGCTTGCAGCTGCCAAACTACAGATTTCAGATAGAATATAAATAAAAGTTTGATTTTTTTTTAATCTTTGTATTATTATTATTGTTCATGTATATTACAATAAATATTCAGTAAGTGAAATTTAATTTTTGTGTGTGTTTAATTAAAAATATTATATTGAAAAAAATGCTCTGGCCCGTCACACGCTCCCAGATTGAGCATTCGGATCATATGCAATCTGAGTTTGAGACCACTGGTTTAAGAAATATGATGCGTAACTTTTCTAAACTGTATTCATCTATTGTGATATGATCGAAACCGTAACTGAAAGCTTTAAACCTATTTAACTTAGAAATTCTTTCTGTAATCTGATGTCAGGTGCAAACCAGCCATTTACAAAGAACATTTTGGCTAAAAGGTATCTTCTGATGAAATTGTGTATCAAAAGTAAGCAATATTCTTTGAAATAATTCTGCAGGGATTAATCTGTGCTACAGGTTCACTTCAAATTTATTGAAAACATCTTCGAAACTTATACTTAATTTTAATCCTCAAATTTGGAATAATCTTCAAGCATAATAATTCACTTATGGTGTGTTTTTATTTTCTGTATAGAACCATTCTGGGAAGCTTCTATTAAGCATTTATTAGTAAAAAAAAATATAGTTTATATGAAATGAAGCATAAATTTATTTATAAAATTATTGTAGAAAAAGAGCATATTGTTTAATCTATAAAGAACACTTTTTTGCTTCCTTGTACGAAGTAAAACAAGAAGTATTGTAATCACGAAAAAATTATGCTTTAAAAATGCTTTAAAAATGATTGAATTATGTTGTTCTTATCTTTCGGTTAAGGTTTTTATATGTTTAGTAAATCTGTATGCAATATTTTTAGAATTATCAACAATTTTAAAGTTGTTTAAGTGCCGCTAAGCCTAATATTTTTTTTGATGGCGGCCATTGCTTGTTTACATTTGAAGCAGCAGGATAGTGGATTTTTTTGCCAATCTAGAGAAACTTAGCTTCGCAACAACAAAGATAACGCCTTCATTTATTATTGCGAAATAATTCATGCTTAATACGTTCTGGAATTTTTTCGAGGAAATAAGTGTTTAAGATTTACTTCGTGATTTTTAATACAGATATTTTGAGTTTTTATGTACACTCATGTCCATAAATTAAGGATAATGCAAAATCAGGCAAAGGAAGAGTTAGAAGCAAAACAAATTTGACGTATTTGTAAAGCTTATTTATTAAACAAGAGCGAAAGAGCATAAAAAGATGCTATATGTTTGATATTATTAAAAAATTAGCGAATTTTTCTCCCTGGAGCAAATTACAAAAAATACCTATTTACAGAAAACCAATATTACATGGTTGGTATGATTGTTAATACATTGCATGTCTCCCAGACGATGCAATACAGTCCGTACAACGCCTAGGCATGCTAAGTATCAAATTTTCGATCTGATCTCTTAGGGGATATAACACCACTCAAAAAGCAATTCTCTCCGAAGTTCCGGTAGACATGTAGGAGGAGGTTGACGGGCTGAAACTCGTCGGCCTATTCCCAAGTCTCTATGATTCAGTCGGGGACGCGCAGTCCTCGGGTGACCCTCGAGAGCATTCTTCGATTTTGACGTGAGGGGGTTTCTCAACACAATTTTGCCTGGCCCCGACAACGTACTGTGTAGCTCCGAAGATTTCTGGTATCAGGTTCAATGTTCCGTCTAACCTTCTTCGGGAACATGCAAGGACCTGACTCGGAACAGAGAGCTTACTAAAGCTATGTTCAATAACTGTGGGAAGTAGACAGGATACACAAGAAGGGTATACAAAAACCCTTTATTTTTCTCTATTACAATAACTTCCGTACTTCGGAATACAAAGACCCGCTACTTGGGGGTCTAAACGTAAAAAAATATAAAAATATAAACTAAACTCTAATTTAACTTTAAAATAATAAACGTGGAAGATTGGCCTTATATTAACAGGAAGCCGTATGTAGTACAGAGAACTGTGAACACTACAATACGTTTAAAAATTATCAAGAGGATTAAAACCTCTGGCCTGGACGGCAACCAGCAACTGAGTAAAACTTCTAAGGTAAGCGGCCTGCTTCGACTAACTGCTTCCTCTCTCTCGCTTGGCAAAAAGCCACAACTTAAATACTTGGCGTTCGCCAGACAAACTTTGCATAAAAACTTTAACGCTTATAATTCTGGCCGGAAGTAGAAAATAAGAAGTGATAGTAAAGATTTAAAATAAAATAAACGTTAGTAAAACTTAAGATCCTTACATACTTCCCGCCAGAGTTAATTAGTTTGAAACTGAGGTCTAAAACGACCTTGTTGAAAACTTTTAGCTCTAGAATCTAACGCGAGGCCAATCTTTTACAAACATTTTTCGCTAGAAACTAGAAATTTAAAAGAAAGAAATTTGTTTTTACAATAGCAGCTCCCAGGACACAACAATTTTTTTCATCTGTACTGCATCTAAACAGGAGCTTTTATTCAAATTCTGGTTCCTTCCAGAGATCTGGAAGGAAAACTAGTTTAATGAAATGTTACACAATGAAATGGCAAGTAACATATATAATTATATTTCTCTTAACATTCTTATTTCATTCATGACTATTTTAATTATCTCTCCCCGTGCTCTCTGACATGTGTTGTAAAAGAACACCAAACACGAATGTGTTTATGTCTACGTGTTCAACACTTCCTCCTACAATCAAAACACTAACGTGTTAAAATTCAACATACCAAGACCTCGTAACACACCCTAATT